TGTGCGTAGTTCTATGCGTTTCTTGAAGCTGTGGTGCCAGATCGCATTGGAATGGCTGCATGATGTTGAATGGGCTTTGTGTTGGGGAGGAAGCCGGAGCACGAAACCGTGCGTTTTTCCGTGTAAAGTGGCTGCAGCCGGCGATGAAAGCTACCTCGTCTGTGCGGCTGTTGCGGCTGGGGTCGTTTGGTTCCTTCTATGTGTCTTGCTGCTTGTCCTGTGTGCGTAGTTCTATGATGTTGCGTTTCTTGACTTGTGGTGCGATCGTTGGAATGGCTGCATGATTTGCATGGGCTTTGTGTTGGGGAGGAAGCCGGAGCACGAAACCTTGTGTTTTTCCGTGTAAAGTGGCTGCAGCCGGCGATGAAAGGTACCTCGTCTGTGCGGCGGTTGCGGCTGCGGTCGTTTCTTTCGCGAATTGTTCCTCCTATGTGTTTTGCAACGAGTGGTTGTTCCTGTGTGCGTAGTTCTATGCGGTTCTTGAATCTCTGGTTGCATGATCGCATTGGAATGGCTGCATGAATGTTGCATGGGGTATGTTTTGGGGAGGAAGCCGGAGCACGAAACCTTGTGTTTTTCCGTGTAAAGTGGCTGCAGCCGGCGATGAAAGGTACCTCGTCTGTGCGGCGGGTGCGGCTGGGGTCGTTTCATGCGCGAATTGTTCCTCCTATGTGTTTTGCAACGAGTGGTTGTGTCTGCGTGCGTAGTTCTATGCGTTTCTTGAAGCTGTGGTGGCAGATCGCATTGGAATGGCTGCATGAATGTTGCATGGGCTATGTTGTGGGGAGGAAGCCGGAGCACGAAACCTTGTGTTTTTCCGTGTAAAGTGGCTGCAGCCGGCGATGAAAGGTACCTCGTCTGTGCGGCGGTTGCGGCTGCGGTCGTTTCTGTCGCGAATTGTTCCTCCTATGTGTTTTGCAACGAGTGGTTGTTCCTGTGTGCGTAGTTCTATGCGTTTCTTGAAGCTGTGGTGCCAGATCGCATTGGAATGGCTGCATGATGTTGCATGCCGTGTGTTGTGGGGAGGAAGCCGGAGCACGAAACCATGTGTTTTTCCGTGTAAAGTGGCTGCAGCCGGCGATGAAAGGTACCTCGTCTGTGCGGCGGTTGCGGCTGCGGGCGTTTTGTGCGCGAATTGTTCCTCCTATGTGTTTTGCAACGAGTGGTTGTGTCTGTGTGCGTAGTTCTATGCGGTTCTTGAAGCTGTGGTGGCAGATCGCATTGGAATGGCTGCATGAATGTTGCATGGGCTATGTTTTGGGGAGGAAGCCGGAGCACGAAACCTTGTGTTTTTCCGTGTAAAGTGGCTGCATCAAGGCTGCGAAAGTGATTTGTCAGCAGATTTTCTCACTTTTGGCGCTAACAATTTTCCTTTTAAAATTCCTTTTAAAAAGTGCTTCAAAATCGTCTTTTTGTCGCTTTGGTGTCGAGATCCGGTTTTGGAGCTGCAATTTCCGACGCCATTGCACGTAGTTCTATTGTGTTTTGCAACTCAGTCTCTACAGATCGCATTGTAGTGGCTGCGTCAAGGTTGCTTGGTGCCACGGCTGCATGCGTAATACTATTTGTCTTTTGCAGCTGAAGATCGTAAATCGTATTGGAATGGCTGCATCAAGGCTGCGAAAGTGATTTGTCAGCAGATTTTCTCAATTTTGGCGCTAATAATTTTCCTTTTAAAATTCCTTTTAAAAAGTGCTTCAAAATCGTCTTTTTGTCGCTTTGGCGTCGAGATCCAGTTTTGGAGCTGCAATTTCCGACGCCATTGCACGTAATTCTATTGTGCTTTGCAACTCAGTCTCTGCAGATCGCATTGTAGTGGCTGCGTCAAGGTTGCTTGGTGCAGCGGCTGCATGCGTAATACTATTGTCTTTTGCAGCTGAAGATCGTAAATCGTATTGGAATGGCTGCATCAAGGCTGCGACAGTGATTTGTCAGCAGATTTTCTCAATTTTGGCGCTAATAATTTTCCTTTTAAAATTCCTTTTAAAAAGTGCTTCAAAATCGTCTTTTTTCTGCTTTGGCGTCGAGATCCGGTTTTGGAGCTGCAATTTCCGACGCCATTGCGCGTAGTTCTATTGTGTTTTGCAACTCAGTCTCTGCAGATCGCATTGTAGTGGCTGCGTCAAGGTTGCTTGGTGCAGCGGCTGCATGCGTAATACTATTATCTTTTGCAGCTGAAGATCGTAAATCGTATTGGAATGGCTGCATCAAGGCTGCGAGAGTGATTTGTCAGCAGATTTTCTCAATTTTGGCGCTAATAATTTTCCTTTTAAAATTCCTTTTAAAAAGTGCTTCAAAATCGTCTTTTTGTCGCTTTGGCGTCGAGATCCAGTTTTGGAGCTGCAATTCCTGTTCTGATTATGTACAAGAAAGCTTCTCTGTGCAAAAACTTTTTCTGTAAAAGCTTGCTGTGTGTAAAAGCCTCTCTGTGTGTAAAAGCGTCTCTGTGTAAAAGTTTCTGTGTGTGTAAACGCTTGCCATGTGTAAAAGCACTGTGCGTAAGTGTTCTGTGTGTAAACGCTTGCTGTGTGTGAAAGCTTGCTGTGTGTAAAAGCTTCTCTGTGTAAAAGCTTGTTGTGTGTAAAAGTTTCTCTGTTTAAAAAGCTTGCTGTGTGTGTAAACGCTTGCCATGTGTAAAAGCACTGTGTGTAAGTGTTCTGTGTGTAAACGCTTGCTGTGTTTGAAAGCTTGCTGTGTGTAAAAGCTTCTCTGTGAAGAAGCTTGCTGTGTGTGAAAGCTTGCTGTGTAAAGCTTCTCTGTGTAAAAGCTTGTTGTGTGTAAAAGCTTCTCTGTTTAAAAAGCTTCTGTGTAAACGCTTGCCATGTGTAAAAGCACTGTGCGTAAGTGTTCTGTGTGTAAACGCTTGCTGTGTTTGAAAGCTTGCTGTGTGAAAAAGATTTTGCGTGTAAAAGCTTGCTGTGTGTAAAAGCCTCTCTGTGTGTAAAAGCGTCTCTGTGCAAAAGTTGCTGTGTGTAAACGCTTGCCATGTGTAAAAGCACTATGTGTAAGTGTTCTGTGTGTAAACGCTTGCTGTGTGTGAAAGCTTCTCTGTGAAGAAGCTTGTTGTGTGTAAAACCTTCTGTGTGTAAAAGCTTCTCTGCTTGAAAAGCTTGCTGTGTGTAAAAGCTTCTCTGCGAAAGAACTTGATGTGTGTAGAAGCTTTGTAGTACAAAGTAGTACTGGAACGTGTTTTGTGCAAGCTTTGTAGTACAAAGTAGTGCTGGGAAGTAGTTTGTGCAAGCTTTGTAGTACAAAGTAGTACTGGGAAGTGCTTTGTGCAAGCCTTGTAATACAAAGTAGTACTGGGAAGTGCTTTGTGCAAGCTTTGTAGTACAAAGTAGTACTTGGAAGTGTTTTGTACATAAGGAATTCAAAGTTTGTGAAGAAACTGGGGAATGCGAATCAGAACAGGATGGGTGCACCGGCTGCATGCTGCATTCCTTTTAAAATTCCTTTTAAAAAGTGCTTCAAAATCGTCTTTTTGTCGCTTTGGCGTCGAGATCCAGTTCCTTTGTAGAAGTACTGGGAAGTGATTCATGAAAGCTTAGATGACATATGAGAAGAGATGAGATGAGAAGAGATGAGCTGGGATAAGGTGAGAAGAGCTCAGATGAGATGAAGTGTGGAGTGTGAAGAGTGCAGTGTGAAGTGTGGGGCGTGAAGAGTGCAGTGTGAAGTGTGGAGTGTGAAGTGTGAAGTGTGGAGTGTGAAGTGTGAAGTGTGGAGTGTGCAGTGGGAAGCGTGCAGTGAAGTGTGAAGTGTGGATTGGGAAGAGTGCAGTGTGAAGTGAGAAGTGTGGAGTGTGAAGTGTGAAGTGTGCAGTGTGGAGTGTGAAGAGTGCAGTGAGAAGTGTGAAGGGCGAAGTGGAGCTTCAAATGTGACATGTGAAACAGGACACCACTTTCGCAGAGTGCACGCACGCACGGGCTTGGCTGGCGCACGGCGCATGCAAGTTCTATAGATGAGAAAGATCTTATATATATATATCTTTAAGGCAACTTCCGCCCCGCCTCGTGCGGGTACTACTGGTATTCAGAATCTATGGATATTGTTCATAGCATCAACCTGTTCGTTACCCATGGTTGACTCAGGTCGCGACCGCCTGGTGGCCGTTGCTTCCAGCCTCGGCCTCTTGCGATGGAGCCGTTCCCCGAGGTCGGACGGACACGGCCGTGGGTTTTTCCGCATTTTTAGTACCCCAAATGAGACCATGGCTGGTTGGTGGTTTGGAACATGGCTTTTATGACTTTCCATTCAGTTGGGAATAGTCTGACTTTCATATTTTTCAGAGGGGTTAAAACCAGCAACCAGATGGAACATAAGGAAAAACACACATATCAGTTCTACATCCAAATAAAAATCCAGCAAAAAGTGCCACTAATTGTTAGCAGTCAATCACAAACAGATACAAAAAGTGAAGCTATAACCATGAAGAACAGGTGGATATTTTAAAAAAATATCGACATTGGGAAATTGAAGCAAAAAATGGGACGATGGTTTGGTCTAGTAAAAGACCCAACCGAGCAGTGACTGCTCAACACCCCTGTTGGTTGATGATGAGTTCGGGGGTTATACTCGGCTTGATATATATATATATCATTCTAGTCATTATTATCTGGTTGGTGGTTTGGAACATTTTTTATTTTTCCATATATTGGGAATAATCATTCCAACTGACTTTCATATTTTTCAGTTGAAACCACCAGTTATCCATGATGGGAATTCCGTTCTTAGCCAACCAGGACAATGACATGAGGTTAAGTCCTGCTACAGATGGGCGCAGCTATTGATCCATCCTCACATTTTCCAAAACAACCACAATGCTCGCCATAATGAGATGATTTTTTTGTCTCCCTGCCCAAAGGAAATAGAGGGGTTTTCCCACTACTTCTTATTTCTATATAACTTGTAATCCATTTGACATGATTGGTTTTCCCCAAAGTTTGTCAAAACCCATTAAAAGACATCGATGGTTCCCCGAACTACACCGAAAACTTCAGATGGCCTCGGCCAAAGATCTGTTAGGTGGAGATCAAGATCTACTGGCAGAGTTCGGCTCAGAGCAGAACCGCAACAACAAGAATACCTGGAGGAGTAATGTGCTGACTCGACCTTGCTGATGGCTACTCCAATACTTTCCCTTTTTCATGTTTTTTTTTAATATTCATTTTTTTTGTTGTACGGTAGTACTTTAAGAATCTTTAAGATACGTTTTTGTTGCCATGTTCAGTGAACTCATCAGCTCACCGATTTGTTCATAGGGCATCCAGGAGTGGCAATGGCCGACTGGCCGAGGTCCCATCATGGCATCTGACAGAAACCCAAACCATGGCCATGTCTGAGAGAAACCATGGACTTGTGCCGAAACGTCATCTTGAAACACAACGGACGAAAATTGGGGGTAGAACATCTCATTTCAATAGAGAACAAAACATCCTGAACAGTTCCCAAACAGCGACTAAACCATATCATCTGCCGATTTGGGGGACTGAAAATGCTGAAACAGTTTCAAGGTGGCGCCCTTGTGAAATGTTTTGTTGCTTACAATCCCTATTGACTAGTTCGATATATCCACTATAAACCCAGTACTTATTGGAGTTCGGTTTATCAACTTAGCGAATTCTGTGATGGGGTACCACCGATATCCACATGAAATTATATCCCAATTTAGTCGGTGAACAACCCATTTTGTTACCAAACAGAGTTCGTAAGTCCCCTACTGAATTATCCGAATGATTCCTGTGCTATAGCCTTTTTGGCCCTGCAAAAACGAACCAGTCACCAACTGGATACCCCGTTAGAATCCACCATTTGGGTTTGTCTGAAAATGTTGGGTTAATCTTCCCAAACAAATAGCCATTAAAAAACGGGATAATGATCAGCAAAACCATTCATTAACCATTGGGTTTAGGGGTACACGACATTTTCAGACACACCCATTTATGGCGCAATGATTTTTCCATTAACCCTCCATTTATCGGGGATTTTCCCAGCCTGTGAGTAGTTTGTGGGGAATCCCTACAAGCAAGGAGTTTGACGCCTTGGGCAGGGAGTTGACGGGCAAGGCCACATCTTCTATGTTGCCGGGTCGAATCAACACCTATCATTTTGGGGGGATTGGGATATGTTGCGTATTCTGATTCGTTGATATGTCATAATGTATGTTTAGTAATCTCTCATCATTATCATTCATTTTATACTTGTAGAATCAACGGTACAAAAATATGATCTGCGCCTACTTCAAAACTTTTGCCTGCAACAAAGTATCAAAAAGTCGCTCGGCAAAACATGATGAACATCTAAACCCTATGACAATCATAGGGTGTCATTTTTTTGGGACAACCCCACAAGATGGGACCCCATTGAAGTGCTGATGATGAAAACTCTACCGCTGCTCCCAAATTGTTGGGGTATTCGGTGAAAGCTTGTTGAGCCCTAGCGACTGAAGTCTTTTCGAAGCAAACAAGCAAAAACATGGTGGTGCTTGCCGTCTATGACAATCTATGATAAATTCATTGCACCATGCACTTGGCGGCTTCAAAGGTTTCCGAGACGTTTCAAGTACTGTTACATAACTATTGTCGGTCACAAAAGCACTTGGGAAGATTCATGTGGATAAACTCTGATCCAATATGATCTATTAGTGTTGGGGATATGGCTGGTGGTGGTTTCAAAACACCTCCAGCATTGGGACATCACCCGACTAACATGGTAAATTCAAAAATAACACAGATTTGAGTGGTTCAAAAACAGCATATGGTAAGCCATTTGGTATGTTTCATGCTCTCCTCCTAGTGGGTTATGGCATGAAACAAACATGAACTTGCTCTGGTTACTAGCTGGTGGATCTGCAGGATGATCCTCCAGTATTTCATCGAAATAGCCATGGCTCCCATGGTTTCCAATTCACAATTTGTCCCATGGATGTCACAAGAAACAAATCCAGTGATTCTTCGATTCTTCACAGAGCATTAAAACATAAAATCATTCGATCCCATGAAAGCCCCATTTGTTGATGGTTAGAATCCTCATATTTTTCACCAAGCCACCCTGAAGGGACCCGTCATTCAGAAAACCCCCCAAGCAAAAGGCCATCATCGTGGGCGTGGAGTCCCAGCGGAGCGCCTTGAAACATGGGACAAAAAACTCCTGGAAAATCGCTTCGACATAGCTACTGATAGCTACTGATAGCCACTGTAATAAATCACTAATAAGTGGATTAATGTGGATTAATGTGGATTAATCTGGATTAATGTGGATTATATAAGTTGTCTCACCATAGTAGGATGTCATATCATGTTATATCCCATCTTAAAGAAGTGAAGACCATGGTTATACCCTTGGAAATGGTGGCTTTTGGAATTGTTCATTGGCATCTTTGATGACCAGAGTGTTGGGTTAAAGAACATCTTGACCGCGAGAAGTACTCATGGACTGTGAGTGGATCGCAGCCAATGCCATTTCATTACTTCGAAGGTCAAATCTCCACTGATTAGCTATATATACGTATCTATTTGCATTCAAACCTACTACCCTCTAGTAAACTAACATAACTATGGAAAGATGCAGCATTTTCAATGGCTAAATCCACTAAGAATTGCCAATTTCAAGTTCGCAAACTCTTAGTTTACCAGGCCGGGTATATCCCATTAAATCCCATTAAATCCCATTAAATCATGGTGAAATCCCCCATGTTTCATGTTAAATTATCATAAATTTCATCCAGGTTGGGGCCAACCCGAGGTTGGGATCCAGGACCCAAGCAAAAAAAGGCCACAGACGATGGGCCCGTCTTCAGTCCCAAGGCGGAGCCGGCGGAGCGTGGCGGAGCCATGGGAGTCACGGTGTGATTCACCGACTGGGAGTCCCACAATTCACCAAGGAAATCCATGGTAACATTTATGAACATTATAGTTACCATATAGTTGATAATATGATTCACTGTGGAATATTTATATGGTAAATAATAAATCCATGGTTGATAATTAATGTTGATAATTTATTTCCCATTAATTAGTGAAACATCATTATCAATAAATATGAGGATTTTAACCATAAATGGACATTTCATGGGATCGAATGATTTTATGTTTTACCCTCTGGTTATGACTAACATAGCCATGGTATAGATGGTCCATTTATAGATGATTTTCCCAGCTAGATACCTCCATTTTTAAGGGATTTTCCATGGCTATGTTAAATAACCAGAGGGTATATTGGAAAATGAGTGAATGATTTTCCCATGAATAGCATGGTGGATCTTTCCAGTTCGTTTAATTTGGCTGTTTACCAGAGGGTAACACAAGTTATGGGATTTTTCATGCGCATATCATGGGAAACCACCTTTTAGATATCAACAAGCCTTCATCCCTCGTTCACACCAAACAAGTGGGGTGTTTATGATGTGAACTGGGGAAAGGAATGCTGTAACCATATGGAATACCCCAGTTCGAGAAGTGACATATCTCATATCTCCAGTTATATCTGTCATCTAAACCACTAGCCTGGATGCACATCCAAGTATCAATTGGCGACCGATATATATATATGTATATATATATATGTATATATATATGTATACATACACATAATTGGAATATTTAGTGGATATGATATGTATAATCTAGCAATGATGGGGATGGGGTTGCATAACACAACCAAATGTAGGTCCGCAATACCAGGGGTTTACGAAACCTTGATACGGGTTGATGGTTAGTAACCCTCCAAAGAAGGCCTTTTTGTTGGTCACCCTTAAAATGTTGCTGGAAAAACAGCATTTTTTTGGGTGAATGTCAAGGCAACTACCTCAAAATGGTGACTTTCATGATTTCAGCTTGGGGAGCTTGGTGATGGTTAGTGAAATATGCAACATTATGCAACTAGCCCATGATAAGCCTCATTATCTCACTGAAATACAAGTATTTTGCTTCCATTTTTCCTATAATTTTCCTATTTTCGGAGAGACCCAACTGGTGAAAATCTGTTGAAATCCACTCGATTCGGCCCTTGAGTGACACGAGACCGTGCAGGAGTCGATGGCGGAGCTGGAAGGTCTTTGCGATACCCTGGGCGTGGAGGCAAGACCAGCGCTACGCTGTCAGCGTTTTGGATTTCTATGGAAAAATGTGAAAAACATGAATTAAAACACATGAAAACACGGTAATTATGGAACTAAACCAGGGGGTATCTCATTTTCAGACAAACCTGCTTGTGTCATTTTGTGTCTGTCAATATGGGATACTACCAACAATGGACAGTCCATCGTTATTTGTGGCTCCCAGGGACAAACAAGTTTGCCATGCCTAAATGGTGTCTCAAAATCGGGAACTGCCAAATACCATGGTTTCAAATCCCATGTTATAGAAAAACATCGGGTATAAATATCCCGCTTGTCTCATGCCTTTAAAATCCTTAAAACATGTCCCCCATTTGAGCCGTATAGTTCTTCTCATAGAAAAGTTCCGTCCTACCAAGTCCTACCAAAATCAACAACTACAGACAAAAACGTACATTGAAACATACATTGAAATACGATTCGCCATTGTTTGGGGCAGTTCCAAAAAACCTAAACATGCGAATGAGTGTTCTTGTTTCCTGGCCTGGCAGGTCAAGGAAAAAGTCTTGCAGCAGTCCCTCAGATTTCAACCGCGATTTCCGTGGTGGATGAGATTTAATAAGATACAGTAAAATCAAATCATCAAGCAGTCTTGCAAAACGTCACTAAAAAGGGATGTTCAACCAGCAATCAATTGGATTCAATCAAACAATTGGGCAAAACAAATGTTGATGGACCTACGAACCAGCTAAAACGATGATTTTGCAGTGATCCAAGATTGCCAGTTGTCTTAGTTAATGGGAGCCAGGAATCCGTGCAAGTAAAAAAAATGGAAAGCATGTGAAGTACCTTATTTTGACCTTTGACCCTTTTGTTGAGTGATCTGCCGTTTTTTCTCTGTGTTCAAGTTGTTTTAGTGTTCTTGTCCAACTTTCATGTGATATTGTTGCATACATTTACTGCAGATGTTACTTACATGTACTTACAATCCCATGCCAGGCCATATTCAATACACAACTGGTGAATTTCGATATGACAAAACATCTTGGAAAACCTGGAGATGATGGTTGGCCACTGAATAATGCCGTAATTCCTTCATGTGGGTACAAGGAATTGCCAGATCTTCTGTACATCCAGTATAAAGATATATATATATATATACACATTGTATATGGTGTAGTATGTTTTCATAAATGCACTTCCTAGATATTTGCAACATATTCGGAGTAGAAGCACTTGTTCGAATTAAAACCATCGTGGGTTCTTTGATCAAGCCCTACCAGTTGTCAAAAAACCGTGGGGCATTTGGTTGATAACTGGAAATAAAACTGTGATTTATGGCTATACCCATAGATATGGATACTAAACCATGAAACACTATCAAACACATTTAAAGACCTACACTCCCGGGAACAAACGTGTCTCAGGCTACCGTTTCAGGTATCAACTAACATGTCCACTCTATACCGGCGTTTTCCTGGGGAATGCATTGCAACTTTCTTTTTACACATTGACCCAAAAACAGCTAACATGTCTCAGTTCCTGCAATTGGGGCCCTTGGATTTCGACCCTGATCTGGGATATGTTAGCTATTTTTGGGGGATAGATTCAGCCAATAACCACTCACATATCTCAAAATCACATCCTCTGAACAACACGGACACGTTAGGTGGACGTTTTCCATGGCCAGTAACCCTTAGTAAATGCAACTGGTTTCTGGAACACACCCCCAATCTTCATATATGACGCGCTCTTCCGAGGAGTTGGGACTCTTTTTTCTGCTCGTTTTGCTATCAATGCGGTCTGGAAATAAGGATTGGAAGTGCAGTGCGTGCTCTTTCGTACCAAACTGGGACATGTTAGCAAGTTGGAATTCGGAAACAATGAACAACAAATGAGCAGCACCTGTGCCACTTCATCTCGGATGCTGGCCATGACTTTGGGGTTCAGGGAAAACAACAGTGTTTTGACAAAAATTGGGTCTTGTAAGTGCAGTCATTCCCCGAAGAGATTCCAATATCTCAAGCTACTGAATATTGGCCTTTTCAATGTGGGGTTCCAAAAACCAGTTGCATTTGGGGCCCTTGGATTTCGACCCTGATCTGGGATATGTTCGCTATTTTGGGGGGATAGATTCAGCCAATAACCACTCACATATCTCAAAACCACATCCTCTGAACAACACGGACACGTTAAGTGGACGCTTTCCATGGCTAGTCATCCAACCCTTAGTAAATGCAACTTGTTTTTGGAATGCACCCCCAATCTTCCTGCCCACCCACGAGCATCATCTATGATGCGCTCTTCCGGAAGGAGTTGGGACCACTTTTTTCTCCACCGTTTTGTTATCAATGCAGTCTTTGATTTGAGCCCTATTGGGGTCTGGAAATAAGGATGCTGGGGCGTCCGGGGCGGTAGTCTTCTGGCAGATTCCCGGGAACCCCCAGAGGGGGGGACAATTTTTCCACTAATATGTCCATTCTGGATTTTCAACTAACATGTCTCTAGTATAGGGCATTTATCATAGCCTATGTTCACAGCAGCTAACGTATCCAAAAAAAACACCAAAAAAAAGTGGATACGTGTCTCGGGCTACCGTTTCAGGTATCAACTAACATGTCCACTCTGTACCGGCGTTTTCTTGGATTTCCTGGGGAATGCATTGCAACTTTTTTTGGGACCATTGACCCAAAAAACAGCTAACATGTCTCAGTTCCTGCAATTGGGGCCCTTGGATTTCGACCCTGATCTGGGATATGTTCGCTATTTTGGGGGGATAGATTCAGCCAATAACCACTCACATATTTCAAAACCACATCCTCTGAACAACACGGACACGTTAGGTGGACGCTTTCCATGGCCAGTCATCCAACCCTTAGTAAATGCAACTGGTTTTTGGAATGCACCCCCAATCTTCCTGCCCACCCACGGGCATCATCTATGATGCGCTCTTCCGGAAGGAGTTGGGACCCCTTTTTTCTCCACCGTTTTGTTCTCAATGCAGTCTTTGATTTGAGCCCTATTGGGGTCTGGAAATAAAGATGCTGGGGCGTCCGGGGCGGTAGTCTTCTGGCAGTTTCCCGGGAACCCCCAGAGGGGGGGACAACTTTTCCACTAACATGTCCATTCTGGATTTTCAACTAACATGTCTCTAGTATAGGGCATTTATCATAGCCTATGTTCACAGCAGCTAACGTATCCAAAAAAACTTTTTTCCACAAAAAAGTGGATACGTGTCTCGGGCTACCGTTTCAGGTATCAACTAACATGTCCACTCTGTACCGGCGTTTTCTTGGATTTCCTGGGGAATGCATTGCAACTTTTTTTGGGACCATTGACCCAAAAACAGCTAACATGTCTCAGTTCCTGCAATTGGGGCCCTTGGATTTCGACCCTGATCTGGGATATGTTCGCTATTTTGGGGGGATAGATTCAGCCAATAACCACTCACATATCTCAAAACCACATCCTCTGAACAACACGGACACGTTAGGTGGACGCTTTCCATGGCCAGTCATCCAACCCTTAGTAAATGCAACTGGTTTTTGGAATGCACCCCCAATCTTCCTGCCCACCCACGGGCATCATCTATGATGCGCTCTTCCGGAAGGAGTTGGGACCCCTTTTTTCTCCACCGTTTTGTTCTCAATGCAGTCTTTGATTTGAGCCCTATTGGGGTCTGGAAATAAAGATGCTGGGGCTTCCGGGGCGGTAGTGTTCTGGCAGTTTCCCGGGAACCCCCAGAGGGGGGGACAACTTTTCCACTAACATGTCCATTCTGGATTTTCAACTAACATGTCTCAAGTATAGGGCATTTATCATAGCCTATGTTCACAGCAGCTAACGTATCCAAAAAAAAATATTTTCCACAAAAAAAGTGGATACGTTTGTTCCCTAGAGAGTATTAGATTATCCCATATTTCTACCATATTTCTAGCATATTTCCACCATATGTATTCTATATTCATCCCATTTTCATCCCATGTCTTTTTTTTGGATCACAACGTTGACGCCACCGTAGTCCCTTTGGAGGTGGCGTCCCTACAGCGGACGGCTGCCCATCGGTACTGGGAAGGCGGAAGAGATGCGGCAGCAGGCGGAGATCACGGCCGAAAGAACTCGGCGAAATGTTACAAGGTGGTGCCCCGAAGATAGCTAACTTGGTTTATAACTCCAATAACTATGGTTTATAGGTGATATATCTATAGTTAATGGGGTTTATAAACCAATTTATAACTAGGGGGCACCACCTTGTTCATGGTGATTTGGCAGTGTGTCAAAACCTTGTACCCCTGTAGTTCACATCAAAATAGCTGGGTTAAAATGGATGTTCATCCCACTAAAAATGGTATCTATATAGGTATTGATCCACTGCCATTCGGCACCAACATACTGTGGATGGTTGCGAAATCCTGCACCAGTTGATAGGTGGTTTATCCATGTTTATCCCATTATTTCTAAGGGTTTCAACATGTTTCAACCATCCCAGGTGCAGGATTTCCTCCATCCACCGCATGGTGTGTGAATTCCATGGCTCATGAAGTTAAATGAAGTTCATGCATCAGAATTCCATGTGAATTCCATGTGACTTCGCCCTGCAAACATGTGTTTTTTTTCTTTCATTTTGATGGTTTGGTTCTGGAAAAATTGCCCATTTGTAGATGATTTGGCCATGAAAACATTGTGGTTTGCGATGGCTATTTTAAATTACCAGAGGGTAAACTTTGGGTGATATTTATGGGGGGTTTGATCGTCAGCCAGCAGAAATAGCTATATCATATGCTGAGTCAGCCAATGCTGAGTGAAGCAGATATGGTCCATCTGGTGGCGTGATTTTGCCAGCGCAACTGGTGATTTTGCCAGCAAGAGTAGTGATTTTGCCTGGTGCATCCTGGGAAAGTTGGGAAGCACCTGGATTCAAATCGGTGGCTTGGTTGATAATGATCAATAGTACTGGTTAATGATAGGGTGCATAGGGCGAATCTATGGTGAATCTATGCAGGGCACCAATATTTGCAAGGGGCCTGTTTGAATCCCCGGTGAATTTCTGTGTAAACCATCGCAAGGTGTAGATTTCAAGCAAGAAAAGAGCGGATTTTAACCATCAACCTGTGGTTTAAACCAGTGAAAGGGGCAACCGTTTGGGGGAAATTTCATGAAATTTCCGGCCGATAGTTGGGAGACGGTGGGAAATTGGGGATGCTGCCGCAGTGGTTCCAGGTCAAGTACGATCCCGAAGTCGGCGTGGTGGTTTTTGACCAGGCAGGGGAAAAAATACTCCTGGGACTTCATCTAAAATGACAGTCACGGTGAACGGGATGGATGTTGAGTTTATTGTTGGTTTACCGACATTTAAATATACCTTTTTGTAGTTTCTACAGCCGTGTCACCATGAGATTCTAGCGACACGAAGCATCAAACCAGGGATGCTGTTTCTGCCGAGCAAAATGCATGTCTTAAACAACGAAGTGGCTATGGCTCGCACATTGCGCACCAATGAGCCGTTCATTTACTTTAATTAGTCTTCACCAATCCTTTTCTTGGGATGCATATTTATACAAATATATGTACATACAATGAAATTATACTTATAAGTATATATAGTTCATTATATAAGATTCATTAAATATCATATATATGTATTTATATATATATATCATATATATATGTATATAGATACTTAGATAGTGTTTATGATATTCTTATCATTCCCCATCAGCCCCAGTTCTGCCAAGCCCATCTATCACGACCGAGGACATGTCTTACCGGATGCTCATGACCCTCAAGGGTCGTATTGCGTCGCTTGGTCGGTGACTTTCGGTCCATGTTGGTCTGAACATGGGGGATTCAACCAGCAACAGTTTTTGGAGAGATATCACGGGATTACCCAACCTGGTTACCCTCTGGTAAACTGTCACATAACTATGGAAAATCACAATTTTTAATGGGAAAACTCACTATAAATGGCCATGTTCAATAGCTATGTTAAATTACCAGAGGGTATTTAACATAGCCATGGTATAGATGGCCCTAATCGAAATAGATGGTTTACCTATAAAAAATGGGTGGATCTTTCCATGGCTATGTTAAATAACCAGAGGGTAACTTTTTTAACATGTGGTATTCAGGATTTGGTTGAACATGGAGGAACACCAAATCCGATGGTGTAGCATGATGTTGCCAAGGGCAATTTTGGGGTATATTGGTATATTCCTATTTCTGGACACCATTTCACAATATGTCACATGTTTACTATGTGTCATTCAGTCGCTATCAGTAGAGTGAACAGACAATTTGGACATCCTGGAAATTGATCACCATTTGGCACAACCCCCAAGCCAAAGTGTCTCTACTTGGGGGGTATATCCCTAACGTTAGTAAGTGGCTAATAATCGTATTATCCCCAAGTTATATCTAATTTTATCTCATTAGATATCGTTCTATAGGGGCTGAGCGGATTGTAGCCATACATGTTGATTTTGGGGTTTGGTGGGGATCAGATGGGTAAAATGTCACATATCACATATTTTTTGGGGGCAGAGGATCAAGGAATCAACAAGAGAAACACGTGTGTTTTTGTTTTAGATTCTAGATTCTAGTATAACCCGTATACCTTTGGGTTCCTTTTTGTGGAATTTATTTGGAAACAGAAACTGGTGTCCGGATCATCCATGAATGAAACATGTTCTACCGTTCTAGTCCTAACATGTTACTGTGCAGATGTAAACAGACGGGGGATCCGTCAAAAAAAATGCAACCTTATTACCAGGTAGACTGTCTTGTTTAGTCATGAGCCATCCGTGTCTGGGGATCTAGTCCCCGTAGACGATACATGGATCTGGATTCTAAATTCGATGAGTTGAACCTTCGAAGCATACCCCAAGTCCACCCCAAATCTGAAAGGATTCCTTTCATGGATTATCTCCAAGTGGCAAGTGATAAAGTGATGAGCTCTAGACTCTAGGGATCTGTTGGGATGTCTGAAAGACACCTGACCCTGGTTTTCCCAAGGCCCAACGGAGAATGTGGAGCTGCCTTGGATATTGATCGATTTTGGAGTATGGGTGATAGTTTTGGAATGGATGAGGATGATGATGATGATGATGATGATGATGATGGGTTATTGGCATATTATAACACACTGATACATGATAAATCAATATAAATCATGATAATGACGATATAAATATGGCAATATGACAGCGCTGGCATCCTGGATCCACATTTTTAATGAAGGAAATCAGCCTACAAGGCCAAATGATGGAAAGTCAACTTCGCATGCCACAGAATGATCACAGAATGAGTCACCAAGTGAAAGCTTTCGGCTTTCGACAGATGCCAGGTGTGATCTTGGACAGGACCTCGCTGATTCTGAGGACAGTCGAGCCTCGAGCAATCTCGAGTCGGGCAGGTTGATGCTCACCGTCTCGTCCTAGATTTGACGCTTGAGCAGGATTCCAACCTATTCCCTTTTCGGCCAAGAAAAGGTCTAGAGAGCTCTTGTAACCTGACACCCTCTCACCAAACATGGTACATCTCTTAAATTTGACTTGGACCATTAATATATATATACACAATATGATATATTTGCTGAAGAGCCATCTTCCAAGCCCAATAAAATTGATGTTCCTTGTGAATTTTTGACTTTTTGGGATAAGTTTCAACGGCCCCAGGGCCACTGCAGAACATACAGGAATCACATTCTTTTTCGGTGTTGAAACAGGGGACACTGGTTGATGTTCAACATGAAACTTCCCTACTTCGAAGAAAACAATAGAAGCCAGCTATTCAAACGGCAAAGAAAAAATATAGATGACCTGGGATGATTTCAAATTATCAAGAATAAATAATGAGAAGCAATGATTTTCTAATTGATAAGAACCAGATTCTGTACATCTACCCTTTCCTACCAATATCCTCGATTATCAAGCATGAAATCATTCTCCACCATTCTCCCCCAATATCCGCCATCCACCATCATTTCAGGGATCTCACCAAGTTCCAAATTTGGCTCCAGGATTTTCGCGCAGCGAGCGCGAACCAAAGAAGCCAAGCTCCAAGTGAAGCTTCTTGGCACCGTTCCGGCCTTCAGCGTGGGAACGGCCTTGTTTCGACTGTAACCGGGTAATGTCCACAACTTGGGTATACCATGGTATACCCCAAATCCACTAGTGAAGCATCATATTATCAGATATCATCGGATATTAAACATTCCAGTGGCTAGTTCATCGTTAAGTTTTCCACATCAAACAGTATACCAAGCCAAAGCCGAGCCGTTTGTCAATCCATCGTTGCCAGCTGCCCAGATTGGCAAGCCTGCGCTACATGTTGCCCCGTTTGCGCTACTACCTCACCACGGTGCGCCCGATCCGGAGGCTTTTTTCATATCCAGAAAAGTGATGTAGAAGGGAGACAAATTCTACAAAGGATGCCTTCTCGAGAACTTATCAGTGGGCAAATGGAAAACCTGATGCAACATGTACCATGTAACTTGAGGTTATCTTTCCGGCCATGTAACTTGAGACTATCTTTCCGACTATATGGCTACGGGTCAAAATTGGATAGTGGTCCCGTAGGTCTTAACCGTTGACGACCCTGTCACCAGTTTCAAAGCTCGAAGGAACATGATTTTTGTGGCCAACTTGCTCCGCAACACCCAGTGAAATACTCCACATCGGGGCATTTTTGAGTTTCCTCAAGTTGGTTTATAACCCGCATAAACATGCATAAACTATAGATAGTTCTACCAGAAACCCTAGTCATATATCTGGATGAATTATAGTGACCTCACTGTGACGTGACTGGAATGATGCTTAGATGGCGGGGAATCATCCCTAAATGGCCGAAGATTTCAGCTTTTTTAGGGTCGGTGAGCTATTATAATTCAGCCAGATATATTAATATTGACTAAGATTGTACTAACTATACTATAAATCAGCCAATTATTATAATTCAACAATTTTTCACTTTTTTCAATTCATATAGAATAATCCCCATGAACTATAGAATACTATAGATATATGTATCGTATATGTATCATAAACCTGGGGCCACTATAGATATGTGTCAGGGCGCAGGAATGGAGGCGCAAGGTGGATCAGTTGGTGCCGGAGGTGTGCGGAATCCCAATCTGACTGGGCAGTTGATACGTTGCCTTTATGGCAACCATGGTGACATATATGGCCCCATACATAGGTATCATAAGTAGTATCCATAAGTTGGCATATATAACTCCTATGACTATGGTCATACAATATATATATATTTATATACACAATATATGATATATATATATATCCACTTATTTACTGGAACATACTGGAACTGCACTTCCAAGTTTGGTTGGCTGACAGATTTCTGGGGCTGCGCTCCATCAACCAACCTTGAGGATTGCCAATTCACAGAATTTCTACCAAAAGTATCATTTATAACTGGGCATATTGGGAATCCCCATAGAACCACACATTATTTGGGGATATTTGGGGATTGTCCAATAGGCTTTAGATACCGCTCAACCAGCATAGATGGAACATATGGCCTAGATGACTTTCCTGTGAAATCCAGCACTTTTTCATTGCCATGCTATTGGATATTATGGTACAACCTACCATTTGGTCATTCAACATATCTGTGGAAAAGCGCAATTTTATAACAGGCAAATCATCTATAAATTGGCTATTTTCATAGCTTTTGTTGAATTCAGGGTAGTGACATCACGTCCAGACAGACCTCAGAGCCGAACAGTTGAATGGTCCCCTGGTCCAAACTGAGTCCGCTTCTGGCGGTGGTGCTTACCTCAAAGGCATGGGGGGAGGAAATCTTTGTTCAGGGAGTGATTTGATCCCAAATGACTGATATTCTGATGGCTTGAAACTACAAGGCCACATCACCCATGAAAACGGAGAGCAACATATCAACGGATAGATCTAACGGAACTAACTGCTGTTCGGTAGATTACAGTAGTCGTTCATAGTCTTTAAGCCTTTCCAGGACAATTTTAGTGGGTATGGTATTATTATAATGTATTACAAGAAGCCACCCTAGTTTGGGGCTTTCCAAGGCATAGGGGGACACCAAGTTATGATCCAAGCTATTGGTCAGTGTTGACAACCAGAAAGCTATGGTGATAAGCGGCTCCGGCAACGTGGGATAAGCTATGATTTTTCCCATTAAAAACATCCATTTAGTGGATTTCCCATTGCTACATTTGATTACCGGAGGGTATTGCTAATGTTTCGTTTGTTTGAATGTTGATGGATTAAATGAAACTACCTTGCTTCCCAGACAATGTGGTCAATGCAAACATGAACCTATAATCTGGGGATGATTTATACCACCCATTTATGATACTGTCTAAATCTGTAAAAATACTGGATAATATAGGGGATTGCCACATTATCCAAACTGTTTTCCATTATTGCTGAATATTGGTAAGAAATGTAAAACTGGTCTCAACTGGGTATTATAGAGAACCACAAAAAAAACTATACAAGGTGGTGCCCCATAGTTAGCTAAGTTGGTTTATAACTCCCATAACTATGGTTTATGGTAGATATAAGTATAGTTAATGGGGTTTATAAAGCAACTTATAACTGGGGGGCACCATCCTGTAATTTGTGGATTCTTTATCTTTGGATTTGTCACATTATTTCTGTTGGAAATGTCCATCTCAGAACGCACGCCTGTTTCGCCCCATTTTTTTTCTGCCTTTGCGAGGAAAGGGAGAAACGCAGTTGCAGATGGACAGGCGCCAATTTGGTGTCAACGAGTTCGCAGAGATCGGGTTTAACCCCAGGGGATTGCCAATTTGGTGTCCGAAGATGGGGGTTGTATCCATAAAGCCGATATTGTCATGGGGAGAACGATGATCGACCATCAAATTTTGGGTACTCCATGCTCAGAGAATCCAATTGTTTGTCCCTAAAAGGGGGGGAAAAAATAGAAAGCACTTGTTTGAAGTGGTTTTGGTTCTTGGACAGCTGGCACTGTTTATTGACTCCAGCATATCCCCAATGGCATGTTGATTTTCTTAGAAAAATGACACTTCAAACCATGGGCTCTAATGGGGGTACCTTAGTTTCAGACAAAACCGAACAGATCTTTACAGCGGATACATTGTGTGGGTTCCACCTCCATGTTTGAAGGGATACACCATATGCTTCATGGTAAAATCATGGGTTGCTATTTAAAACCATGAACACAAATCATTTGGTCTCCTCTCAATCATTTCAATCATTTGGTCCCCTCTCAAATCTGACAGAGATCTCACAAATCAGCGCGAACCGCGATGGTTCCCATGGTTCCTGTTCTGAAAAGAGCACAGAACCGCTGAACCGCTGTCAGAAAGATACTGAGGTGTATGGTGTGTTCTTTGATGATACTGGGCTTCTACCTTTCTTGATTCAATTTTAACTTGTACCTTTGCGTTACATAAATCAATATATAATTAGTCTTAATATAATCAATATATACTTTGTTTCATGTCCCACCCAATAAGAAGTCTTTGGACAATGTATATCAAGACATCCCTTACACAACCACCAGTCTTTGCTGTATGTTCATTCGAGTTTCAGCCATTTCTTGGACCTTGGGTGGGTAGTTTCATACAGCAGTTTCACAAAAATGGGGATTTAAGATGGATTTAAGCGCCCCATCAAAGGCGACCCCCAGCCCGATTATCAGGACGAATCTCAACCACAAAAGGTTTTCCCATCGCCTTTGGGGTGGTGATGACGGGATTTGTCTGAAAGTTTTGGGCAGCCCCCAAAACATCCAAAGCCTAGTGGAAAAACCCTCTCAAACTGCCATTCTGGTGATTTATGCCATGGTATACCATGGTATACCATGGTATACCCCATTCCCAGAGAAATCCGTTCATAGTACCAAATGATATTTGTTTTGCAGGCAACAATCAAAGAGTGGCCATGGTGTGAATTCAGTCGATGTGCATCCCACGAATCACACGTGGTAACTTTTTCATAACCCACGTAGAACCGGGGATTTCCCAGTTCTAAACGGGTTATGATTCATTGCTATTGTCCACTTTTCAGAGTCGTAAACTCAGGATGCATCCTCAAGTTATAGATCCACCAGATCCACCAGGAACCCACCATTTTTCAAAAGTTAGCCTAGCTGCTGTATATCAGCAAACTTCGTGATTCCATACTGGGGCACCAATTTGAAGTGACTTCGAGCTGCTTAGCACTGCTTAGTCGCTAACAGCACCGTTGGCCCATGGCCCAGTGACCTTGTCATTCGTCACCTAAGTGACTTAAGTATACTTAAGTGACTTAAGCCTAAGGCCACTCAACATCACCAAGGTCACTCAACAGCGGTGGAAAAATCAAGGGATTCCATGGCTTTCGACCCATCCTTGGGATCACCCACACACACAACTGCCAGCTGTTTATCCTTGGGATCACAGCAGTCACATGAGACCAATGACTTGCTTCCACTGATCACTTATGGTGTTTCACCCGGAAAATTTGAGATTGTGAGAGACATCTGAGATGTATACCCTCTGGTAAACTAACATAGCAATGGAAAATCACAATTTTTAATGGGAAAACTCACTATAAATGGCCATTTTCCATAGTTATGTTAAATTACCAGAGGGTATTTGTTTATTTGTTTATGGAGTTTTGCAACCTAGAAAAATCATAAAATCGCTTTTATGGTGGGTCGGCTTCCTGCGTCCATTCGTCCAAGCCGCAGCGATGTATCCAGAGGGCACCACCTCGCAAGAATCATCTGGAACATATCCAAATATGAGAAGTGTATAGCAGGCACAATGTGCAGCCGTATATGCATGTATATACCCTTATATACCCCATATGCTTCATGTATGGTACATTATTTTCATTTGGGCCATTATTTGATGGTCAATATGCCATGGAGCATTTGCATGTACCTGTCTTTGTATATACACATGCACACTACATGACAACCAAGTAACATGATGAATCACCAGAAAGACAAGCTCTTTCACCTTGGCGCAAAGATTCTCAATATACTTTCGTTGCTTGATCTTGAGCTGGTCTTGGACACCACAGCCACGCAGTTCTGCAGTAGCGTGTCAGACAACCTGGACATGGGGTAATCGTGAAGAATACCTCCAAGG